TGGTCTTTCTCATAGAGGCTTCAGAGCAGAACATGGACATCCATCACCAGCTGCAGTTCAAGATGGCGCAGTATGAGTTTATTCACTGGAGAAATACTTTATTTTTATTGCAAATAGCTGGAAATAAAACTGAGCAATCTCTTAGGCTGTTGAGTTTGTGGAGTAGAGGAAATATCTTGGCACAGCAACTGATGACATGCTGAGCTTTGAGCCTCATGTGGATGCTAATGGTAGAAGATATTGCCAGTGCTTGTCATATTATGATAAGCTTCAAACTTTTCATTAAGTTTTATAAACAGAAACAAAACTTAATGAGAAAGTTTTATTTCTGTTTAACTGGTTCAATCCTCACTTTCTCATTTGTTGGCTGTTGACTGAACTTCAAAAACAAACACAGACTGAAAAGTCAAAGCGTGCGGAAAAGTAAGACTTACCAACATGGTGTCAAAACAGACTTAAGAACTTCCACATCCACTGGTTGTGGATGATAAATTGTGTGGTTCATGGCTGATCTCAGGTTTTTATGTGTGCGTTTGACATGTGTACGTACCACTCCTCTCTCCCAAATGACGCTCATCCTGTCCTGGACTCCAGGCACTCCATGAGGGATCTTGGTGAAGTCCTCTTTGCCCAAGGCTCTCTGCTTGGTGCTGAATGGACGGTGCTCTGATGCCACCACGCTCAGATTGTCACTGAAACAGGAAACAGGATATCCACGTTTAGTTTAAAGGAGCGTTTTTATCCACGGCACCTTTGCCGTCACTGAGCTGCTGTTGCGATCAGTTTACTCGAAGCAGTACAGCATGCTGATGTGAGTGCAGCACACATACTTGCCCAGCAGGCCCATGAGGTAGCTGGGTGTGTTTGGGTCGAGGCGGAGTGGAGGGACGATGACATGGGCGGCGGCATGAGCCCAATCCTGGTGGTAATACTGCATCCCATTCAACACTGCGTGAGCAACTGTAGTCTCCCCGTGGACCACCTTACCTGAAATTATAAAAAGTGAAGAAAAGTCAGCTTTCATCCTCTCCATCGTCACGGTGACTGTTAGTTTGTCTTCATCGGGCAGTACGCTCACCCTGCATCTTAGCAGCAGCGATCATATCACCAGCAGACATACTGGACACATTTACCAGGTAGATTGGGCAGCGAGCCTGTGGTCACACATAAGATTTTAATCAGTCCTTTAATTACTTATCAATAACTGCACACAGACTGGATATTAAAATGTTTTTACCCTGTTGGCAATGGTGATGGCTCTGTGAGTGGCCTCAGACTCCAGCTGCAGACAAGAAGACAGAGTAAAATCACAAAATAACAACTTTAATAAGTAAACATTTTAATATTTATTGAAAAAATATTTTACAAAAAAAAGTTCAAGGCCACAATGATTACTTGTTTTTGTTTTACATTTATAGGAAAGATCCCTAAATATTCCTACTTAATATTCAAAATTAGGTTTTATCAGCGTTTTAAGGGAACATAAAGGAAAATAGTTTTATTTTCCACTGTTATGTTTTAGACTTTTTCACACATCAGACTAGAAAGAGTTTTTACTACAAGCCACATTCACATAGTCCCACATTAGTCTAATATCACGCCTGCTCACACTCTAATGGATGTGTTGGGCGTAAGTCCAAGTGCTCAGTGCCACTGTAGACTGCAGGAGCAGATTGATCCTCTGACCTTTAGATTAGGATACGACCACTACCTCAAAAAACCCCCCACCCCTCTGTCCACTGCATATTTACCTCCTCTGGTCGACTGATCTCTATTCCCTCCGGCCCACTGATGCCCAAATCCAGAGCCTCTTTGGCACCCTAACAACACAAACACATTCATTTTAAAACAGGTTTGTGATTTCACTTTGACGTCAAAGGGAAAAAAAATTGTCTTTGCACCTCGGCCACCAGCTCTCCGTTTTCAGCGTGGACTCGGGCAATGGCACCGATATCCTTACAGGTCTGCAGAGTCTGGTAGAGCTCTGAATCCCGCAGCATCATCATGTCTTTGTAGGCCATGAACACCTGGAAGGAGTTCACTCCATGTTCCCTCACCAGGGTCTCCATCTCATTACGTACCTAAGGATGATTCAGAGGTCTCAGGGTCAGCAGTCCTGTTTCTGGATTACAGTTCAGTGCTTGCAAAGCTTCAGTTTATATATGTAAAGGCAGTTAGTGCATCGGGCATTGGGAATGTGGGCATGGAGTGAAAGAGAAACTCTGTGTGTGTGTTTGTTTTGTGGGGCATGAAATGAGCTTGGAAACCTGCCACAATGAGATCACACTGCCTTTACACTGGTGACTACAACAGCCCCGCTGAGAAGAATCCATTTCATTCATTCAAACAGCAGTAAAAGGAAACTAGACAGTTTAGTGTTTAAAATGCTGAACTGTGCTGCGGTGAATGGGCCATAAAGGTCACGTCATAGTCATGATGGAGTATTGATGAAAAGAGCAAAACTACTTCCTTCCATAATGATTAATCTACTTTTACAGCTCATGACAGTTTGAGTATTTTTT